AAGGAAATCATCAAATTCAATGTTCTTTCCAATGCTTTGCTGATGGCAGTCATGATGTAAACATGACTTGTTCAAGCACCAGTGGGTGACCATTCAACTGTACCCTCTGTTGCCTCCCGCAATTATCGCTTAGCTTTTACCTCTAGGCGATGCTCAGAGACATGTCAACAGGGAAAATTTCTGTGATTCTCTTTACTTTCTTGTGGAGAAGATCTATTCTTTTATGTTCCCAGAACATCATCACTTTTTCCCTTTCTTCTTCTTCTTCTTCTTTTTTTGGCAGCACTAGGGTCTGAACTCAGGGCTGCATTTTTGCTAGGCAGGCACTCTTACTATTTGAGCCACTCCTGCAGCCCACATCATCTCCTTATTTGGGAAATGTTCCTTTCTTTTAGCTCTAGCTCACATGAAGAATCCCATCTCCCTGTGCATACTATTTCCTGTCTGTACTGATTGGCAACTGACTTCCTTATCTCTTGATCATCAGACTCTTGAGATCTTTAGACTTTTTGTTTTAACCAGAATAACTGAGTTTTATCTCCTTGGTGGTAGAAAAGTATAGACAGATGAAATGTGGAACTACCTAGTGGGATTTTTTCCTACTTTGTCGAAGAATTGGGTATAAGAAGAGAGTAAATTTAAAATTGAGAGACAATGGACAATAGAGAAATTAATAGCCTCATGGGAGTTGCTGATCTCAGTTGTCCCTGAAGCTTAGCTGTATTTCTTGTCATCATCCTGTGGTGTTGAGAATCTTCTATTGAATTTGTCTCTCTGTTCAAGCCATGCTGTGTACTGGGTTTCTGTCATTTGCTCTAAAGTTCTCATTAAGAAACCCAAGGACTGAAAGTCACTCCATCTTCAGGATCTTCTTCTCCATATCTGAAAAGTGAACAGTTGAACTGGAGATCTAAGTTTCTTCTGACTCCATAATTCTGTAAAATTCAGATATGAAGACTCTTAGAGTACTTTGAAGAACCTTACAAGGAAAGCCAAGGAAGTAACATATCTCAGGACTAAACACCTCTGAAAGGGTTTGGAGAATAGGGAAAGCAGATCGTTGTAGAATCAGGTTAAAGTGATCTTGATTATCTGGTTGTCTTTTTATTTGGGACTTCTTCTGTATTTATGATCAATAAGGGCTCACTGGGTACATTGCAAGTTAACCAGTTTGGCCTTAAAAAATCGTGGACTGATAATCAAATTAACTGATTCAACCATTAATCATATTCCTATTTGGAAGGCTCAACCTACTTGCCTATGAATTGGAAAGCCTGGGTCATTTGACCTCCAATATCTCCTTTAGTTCTAGCATCTTTTGACAACTTATAAAACTTGCAATTCTAGAATAGGTAATGTAAGGCATGATTATCGATGATGAATTGAGAGAGAACTTTTGCAGCTGGATAAGTCCTCCAAAGTGAACTGGCATGTATACAGTAAGCAGCTGAAATAGTCTTTGATATTATTATTCTATTGGATGTCCCTTCCAAAGCTGGGTATCAGGGAAAAAGCTCTTAGGGAAAAATACCTAAACTTTTATTTTAGTTTTGTAGGTCCTTATTACAAATAACATATGAAAATATAATCAGTAGTCTTTGAGGTTCCTTTTGGTTCTTTACTGGAGCTGGCCTCAGGATGACCTGAATCATCCTTATAATAATTCCTAAACTCTTTTAAGCACTTAAAACCATTACAAATTTAACTGACAGATAATTATTATATATATTTATGGAGTATGATTTGTTTTACATATATATTATAGAAAAATTTAACAACATAGTTAAATAGGTTAAATTCATTTAACCTAATTAAATACTCCCTGAATGCAGAGTTTCAATGATCTCTGTAGCTGATTTCACCTGGTGAGGTAGTGGGTAATCAGTATTGTTTATGAGGAAGATCTCCAGGGACCCGTGAAGGGAAAGTCTTTCTTTAAGGGCAGGTGGTATCTTTCTATACTTTCTGAGAAATCCTTCCAGAAGATGTTTTCACCTTAGACTCCATCCCAATTCATTTCCCAATAGGGATGATTGCTCTTGGGGACATCACAGAGGCATAAAGTAGTCAGATCCTGAGTTGTCATCAGAAGATGTTTTTCTTGGGATAATTACTGTTTTCCCATTTATAATTTGGACAATTACTGGGCTTCTTTAGAGTTATACTGCCTAAGGAAACTCCTTCTTGAATCACTGTAGTTCATAGGATGCTAATGTAAAAGAGGGTTTGTTGTTAAATACTTTTTAGGAAGTGGAGATTAAAGTTGATGTTTCTTAATTATAGGACTTTATACATATTTTTAATTTATAAATCTTTTAATATGCTGTTATATTTCTATATAAGGAATACAGCATGAAGTGGTCCCCAAACATTCTGAGAACTATTTTCTCCCCAAAACATCTACCTAAGACATCTGGGGATGAGCAGGAGTTTCCTGTCAGTAGTTCGCAAATCTTGCTGTACCTCATGATCATCTGGGGTATAAAAAATACTGCTGTTTGGCTCCTAATTCAGACATTGTAATTTATTTGTTAATCTGGGCCTTGGGATCTTACAGTTCCCCAGGGTATTTTTATTTGCAATGAAGTTTGAGAACCACTTCCCTGGAGTTCTCTCATCTTGTGTATCTTCTGGATAGGCTTAGAGCACTGATCTGTTTCAAGTCATTGTTTTGCCACAAGGAAGCTTTGTGGTCCTCTCCATATCTAGGTTTTAAAAATTATTTATAAGTCAGGGAAACATTAAACTTACCCTGACTGTCTTACTTCTCCTGTGAGGAAGGAACGTATTTGTGACTCTTGGAGCAATCATGCTCTTCAAGAACATATATTTATTATTCTTCTTTAGCTCATGGCACCATACACAGAGATTCAAGCAGAGCTAGATTTCTTGTGAATGCTTCTCCAGGCACTGTGTCTAGATACAAGTTTTGGGGATTAAATGTGTTAGGAATTCCTAGAATGGCACTCTTGGTGACAGATGTATTGCATCAAAATCCATGGAGATAGTGTGTTCTTATCCACATTTCACACAAGTACTCCAGGGAATTCTCATGCACTGATTCTGGTCACCACCACTAATTTTTCGGTTTTCCTTGTAGAAGTTTGTTCACAACTTGCTCACATCTGTCTCTCCAGTATTTCGTCTAACAACTGTACACCTGCACCATTCTCTGCTTCTGCCTATTTCAGTACGTTTTGGTGCAGGGGAGCAAAAGTATGTACTTACAAAACAGCTTCTTTTGCAGGATCAGGTCATAGATGGCTAGGGTGGCATTGTGGAAACCCCCTGATAAAATTCCCAAGTGAGGTATAAGAAAACTTCACAGAAATATATTATGTTTTGTACAATGCTGCAGGAAGGCAAGACTAGCAGCCAGCTCCGTCACACTCTTCTGAGGGGTAATGAAGAACGGGGTGAAGATGGGGAATTTGAAATTAAAGAGAAATTTTCAAATACATTAGGCACTTGTTAGGAAATCACATAATCACCTTCCCCTGGAGAGTCACCTCAGGAACAAATTATAGTGCAGTGCTGGAATGGTGAATATAAGAGGAACCATCAACAGTGTCTAGGGCTGGATCAGAAGCTTAGGGAGAGAGGCAAATCCCCCAACCCTGCTATCCTGGGATGAATCTGAGACACATCCCAGATGTCTAGTGTCAGGGATATTTTGCTTTATTAAGGGTAAGAGGAAAGAGAGAAAGAAGTATAAACCATAAAGGAACTGGAAATGACTCCATCTTAACCAGGCTGACGTTATTATGGTCACATGCTGCATTGTTCTTTATAGATATAGAATAAAGGCAAGGTAATTAAGCCTGGAGAGGAGAGGTGACTCACCCCTGGTCATACATGTGGTGTAAGTGAACTAGAACCCAGGTGTCCTCTGGATTGGCAGGTCATAGTCAGAAGAAATACCAAACTAAAGAGGAAGGCAGTAGCAAAGTGTAATTCGGGTAAGGACAGCTCGGCTCTGCTTGCAGTTCTAATCTGTTTTCCTTGCTTGTTATCTGTAATAAGTAAGCTCAGCATTGGCCTGGCTGCTGTGGCACTAAGTACTCAAACATGATCAAAGCACTTCTTTACAGCCTTGTTCTAGAACTCTCTTGAGGACCACCAAATCTATTACTCCAGAGTCCTCCAACAGTACTCGACCACCAGACTACAGAAATATTTCTGCTTCCTTCTATTTTTCATTTTGGATTTTGTTTATTACCAAACTACTGCCTTTACAAAGGGCTTTGAGAATAACCAAATAATGTTTATAGAGTTTTGCCCGCTGCCTAAAGGAGGTTATGCTTGCTCCTTTGGTTCCAAAGTCAATGTTAGTGTGTTTATATATGCACACATTTACATGGAGCCTTAATAAGGAAGCCAGTTTTAATTAGGATAACAGCTGTTTGTTAAACATTCATGTTGTTAGACTGAGAATAGCAATATTTCTACAAGCAGATTCCATTTGTGATTGATAATGGATTTTTTTTGGTTCATGCTCTTTTGTTTATAGAATATAAAATTTTCTTCCTTAAAGCATTCACTTAAAAATTTAAATAGTCACCAAATATATGTGGAGCGTTTTTGGCTTTCCAATGTACTTTTGCATCTGTTTTAATGTATGCATTATCTTATAAGCAGGGAAGATATTATAGTCTCCTTTTGGCAGAGGAAGAAATTGAGGTTCAGAGAGGTTAAGTACCTTTTGTAATATCAACCAGCTGATTGGGAACACAGTTGTAAATACAAGTCTGATTTGTAAGCCAGAGAATCACTTGCTTTCTATTCTTAGCTTGATGGGAGCACTCATTACTTTTTTATCTTATGCTGTAGTGGGTTCTATAATTGCCTAGATGTTTCTTAGAGTGCAATGTTTGTTCAAGTTGAGTGACTGTATGTCAGAAACTCAATTTATGCTTTTTTTTTTACTTGAAATGAACTTTTCTTAAGGGATTTTGTGTGCTGGCTCTTATCTTATTCCTCCCAGGTGAACTGTTAGATGGATGGCTATGAGGAATTACACTTTAGTTACTGAGTTCTTCCTTACTACATTCACTGAACATCCTGAATGGGGGCTTCCTCTATTCCTACTATTTCTGAGTTTCTATTTTACCACTCTTCTGGGGAATGCAGGAATCATCATTCTGATCTGCAAAAATCACTGCCTCCACACCCCGATGTATTTCTTCCTCAGCCACCTTTCCTTCGTGGATGTCTGCTACTCCTCTGTCATCATCCCTCAGATGCTGGCTGTACTGTGGGAACATGGCACAGTTATCTCCCAAGTTCGCTGTGCAGCTCAGTTCTTCCTCTTCACCTTATTTGCTTCCATTGACTGCTACCTCTTGGCAATCATGGCCTATGACCGCTATGTGGCCGTGTGCAATCCTTTGCTTTATGTCTCCATCATGACAGAGAAGACCCAATTGGGCTTAGTAGCTGGGGCTTATTTTGCTGGTTTCTTCAGTGCCTTTGTTCGAACAGTAACAGCCTTCACTCTGTCTTTCTGTGGAAACAATGAGATCGACTTCATTTTCTGTGACCTCCCTCCTCTGTTAAAACTCACTTGTGGGGACAGCTACACTCAGGAAGTGGTGATTATTGTCTTTGCCATTTTTGTCATGCCTGTTTGCATCTTGGTGATCTTGGTGTCCTACCTGTTTATCATTGTGGCCATCATGCAGATTCATTCTGCTGGAGGCCGGACCAAGACCTTCTCTACTTGTGCCTCTCACCTTACTGCTGTTGCTCTCTTCTTCGGCACCCTCATCTTCATGTACCTGAGGAATAATTCAGGCCAGTCATCAGAGGGGGACCAAGTGGCGTCTGTGCTCTACACAGTGGTGACTCCAATGCTCAACCCACTCATCTATAGCCTGAGGAATAAGGAGGTGAAGGAAGCGGTTATGAAATCCCTGAGCACATCAAAGGTTTCTAGAAAGCCATAGATGGACCCTTGTAAAAGATATCAATCCTTAGCTTCTCCATTCTTTGTGTATTTCTCAAATATAACCTTTGTGAGAAGGCTTTCCTAGACTTACTTAAATTTGGACCCAAAGTTTCCACCTCCACTTTGTGACTTAACTCTGTATATTTGTTTTCTGCTGACATGATAGATGCTTTATGTGTTTGATATTGTCTCACCATCTGGAAAGTAGATGACTTGAGTTAAAACACTGTTTCATATCCAGTGCCTGGCAAAGCAGCTAGCACATAAAAAGCACTCAACAGCTATTTGTTGAATGGATGAATTATTCCTAGGTTCCAAGTTTTACCTTTAATTTTCAACTTCCTCAGTCCTTAATTTCTTAATTGCCAGGTGGATTTACCTACTTTACAGGACTATATTTTTGAGGATCTAATGCATGAATGGTTAGGGACCATGTCTGCCTCATTGACTGGTGTCTGCTGGATCCAGTACCTTCTCTGGCACAACACCTTGATGAGTAAAGTACGGATATTTGCAAAAATCATGACGCTGTCTACAAATGCAACTCCTGTTTTGATTCAAAGTGGTTTTTCAAAGTCTCATCGTTATTTTTTTATTCTCATCATTTATTATTTTTGTCTTCTTATTCTGTTGTTTTTGAATGATAATAGTGAAAATTGTAGCAGTAATATTAATAAACAGCAACTAAAATTTGTTAGGCATTATTACTTTTCAGGAATTACAATAAGTTTGCTACAGGAATTATCTTATTTAATTTGCAGAATATCCCTATGAAGCATATTCTATTAGTATTCCTGTTTTATAAGAGGATGAGACACTTGAGGCTTAGAGAAGCTGATTAATTTTTCCAAGGTCAGGAGGCAAGTAGAAGAGTGGGTTTCAACCCATTTCCAGCTTGACCTCTTAATTGCCATCCCTACTGTCTCTAGCTGTGATCTACTGCCTACTCTAAATCACTAACTGGAATTTATTGTTATGGTACTTCTCGTTCTTCCTTTTATTTGGTGGAGAAAAAGCCAAAGTCCAATATGTGAGGTAGAAGGCAGTCAACACATTCGTTTTATAGCCTATAAATGCTACTGTTTTATAATGTGACTCTGTGTGTGTGTGTAGTTGTGCCTGAGAAAGTGAGTTTTGCGGATTAAACAGTAGCTTTCAAACTCTAAGAACTTTCACATAAAGGACACATACCAAGTGTTTTAGAAAAGAGTAAGGTGGGCAGGTGTAGGAAAAGAAATAGGGAAAATAATTGCATTGGTGGCCCAGAGTTTAGAGTTACATATAAGCTTAATTTGTGAAATTTTTTTTATTTTTTTTTGCTAAAAGTGAACTAATCTTTTTTTTCAGCAGTACTGGGGCTTGAACTCAGGGCCTTTCACTTCTTAGGCAGGCACTGTACCACTTGATCTACATCCTAAGCCCTGTACATCAACTTTTGCTTATATATTTGCATAACTCACCTAAAAAGAGCTAGGTGGGATGAAGCACCTTCACAGAGTGCATCCTGGTGACCATTTTTCAAATATTATCTGCTATACAAATGTTACCTGAACACATCAGCTTCTGTAGTGGGTATTAGATGTCTTGGTGTTGTAGAAAATTCTCAGAATTGGGCACCAATGTATCCAGTTTGTTACTTCTTAGTTGTATGGCTTCAGATTAGCCACTACCTTCAAACTGCTTCTCATTTGCGAACCAATACCTACTGAACACTTACTCTGGGCAAGGCTTTATATGTATCCTTTAGTCACCAACAAGTTGGGACACATAGAGAATGGGAAGATGCTTAGAAACTTCTATCACCATCAATACGTGTTATTGTAATGACCATCCAGGCTTCCGAAATCAATGAGTAGTCATGGGCAGAGGGACCCATAGTTGACTGGTAAATTCTTTAGTTCAGACCTGTCTGGGACGGTCTCTCCTTTGTCCCTCTTACGTCCAGATCAGCATTAGGTGCAGACACTTCCAGAAGTGGAGAATTCATTAATAATTTTTAAAACTTAATTCTTAAGTGAATGCACTCTTAACCATATTCAAGGCATTGTGCTAAGAGCTTTAAATGAATCATTTATTTTATTCATCTTAACAACTATAACAAAAAAAATTGTTCAGACTTTACTTAGCAAAAGAATTCCCCCAAACCCTAATAGATTAAGACCCAGAGAAGTTACGTGACTTGCTCAAGTTGTGTAGCAAGAAAGTGGCAGATGAGGAAGTTTCTGAGTTCAGGTTTCTCTTAATCCAGAGTGCCTACTCTTAACAGCTATCTGCCTTTCTGCACTCTGTTCCCTTCCTTTCTCTGAGGCCTCATATTTTTTTCAGTTGTCTTCAGAGGCATTGGGTTTCAGTTGCATTCTTGTTCTCAATGTTTGGTTGACATGGACTGAGGTAGATGGATGTTAGGGACTGACATAAATGCAGACTTCATGGAAATTACCTTGGTTCTTGTGTAAGTCAGTTAGGATGATCTAGGGAAATTTTTAGCTCCCTTGAAAAAGCAGGATTTGCACAGATGAACTATTGCCTTCCAAAGCCCTTCCAGAATCCCTCTTGGGTAAAGTTTCCTCTAATAAATAGCTAATCAGTTCAGTGCCGAAGCAGACTAGACTGGACTTAAAAAAAAACATACGGCCTAGTTTAGAGCACCTTGTTCAGCCCTCTTTTACACATCCCCTCTGAGCCCACAGAGCTCCATTCCAATTGGAAATCCTTTGTTAGGTTAAATTAGAGTGGAGATTTCCTCCCACAAGGACTTAGGGTACCTGAGAATTAGTATAGGTATATGCATGAGTCTGCCCAGATCCTCCCCTCTCCCAAAGGCCATTGGAGACTGGGAATGATGTGTGTCTTCTTCCCACCTCCAAGTTAAGGATGCTATAAAACTGACCTAAAAAATTCCCCTTTTTTCCTTCACACAGCGCCTCCACTCCACTTGGCAGAGATGTCACCTGTAATCCCCTCTCCCCTTTCCTATAATAAAACTTCATTATTTCCCTCACTGCACCCATGTGTCCTGCTTGGATTCTTCTTTGTCAGAGTGCAAGGACCAAAATCTTCTGATTAGAATCATCAGTGATTTCAACAGTGCCACTAGGTGGACATCAGCCTGTCCTTCAAGTCTTCTTTTTCAATCTTAAGTAACCACTTAAGGAATTCAGTATTACTTTCCAAATAATGATCATTGCTATTTCTTACTATTTAATTGCATTTAAAATGTTAAATTGTATATCACACATATAATTCATTACTTTTGTTCTATCTACCTCATCATCATATTACACAAAGGATGTGTCTGAAACTCTTTCTGATTTGCTAAGACTTTAAAAATGGCTTTATTGAGATTTAATTTGGATCTAATAAACTATACATATTTAAAGCACACAGTTTAAGTTCTGACATATGAATACACTCATGATGCTATTACCATAGTCAATAATAAACACATATATCACTCCCAAAACTTCCCTATACTCCACTCTTCTTTCTCCATGTGTCCTTTCCCACCACTCCCCCTCCATACCCCATGAAATTTCTATCCTGATACATTAACTTGAATTTCATATAAATTTTATATAAATGAAATAATGTGCTCTTTTCATAGCGTAATTATTTTAAGTATCATTAACATGATTGAACATATGAATAATTCACTCCTTATTGCTGAATATTATTATATGCATGTGTATATTAGGTTTTTATTCCTATATCTGTTTATGAGCATTTGGGTTGTTTCTAGTTTTGAGCTATTATAATGCTGTATGAACATTTGTGGATATATACTTTCAGTTCTCTTGCATAAATATGAACTCAAAAGATATATAAATATATTTATTGCACATTAGTGTATATATAGGTATAGTTAATGTGTATGTTGCAGGACGGCTCAGACAGAGACTGAGAGGGCTTCGGGAAGCAAGTTTATTAAGCAACTGGCAGTGACTCAGCGGACTTGAGTCCAAAGGCCGAGCCACGAGAACAAAGGGGGCTTCCTTATATACCATTTAGAGCAGGTTACAGAAATGGGGGCGTTACTGCTTGTTCCATACAAAATCACATGTTATTGCATTGGCTGTTTCAACCTCTGGGATGAGGTGACCCTTCTCTGGCCTCCAGGTAACATTCCCTAATTTTAGTTTTCCTTTGTTTCACTATAGCACTCATTGATCTCTTCCTCCTTCCCCCCCTTACTCCTCTTCCAGCCACATTCCCCTCTTTGATGCTCAGACCCACTTCTGGGTCAAAGAGCATCATCTTGATCAAGAATGCAGTACCAAGAGATTAGGCAGGGTAATAGTAAGCATGTTTCTAAGACAAGAGACATTATCCCTATTAAGGTCTTGAACCCACCTAGGGTTGAGAACTAGTCCTAGAATGGATCATTGGGGCTCCATCCCTTTCAGGTCTGCACAGGGACATGGGCAAGCTTTTTTATCTTGTCATTAATCTGTAAACAGCAGCTACTCAGACTGAGATTATTTCAGGCTATTGTTAACTCAGCGAAGTTAGCCAGCAGGTGAGGTTGGGGCTCCATGTGATTGGGAGCTCCCCATCATTGAGTCTCCTGAGTAGCGTCATTGTAAAACTTTTGTTCCAAGCAGATCAAAATTGGCCTTTAGGATGGGATATACAGTAATTCCCAATAATAGAGGTTTTTAGGAGCCAAATGCTCTCCTCAATGTTAGGGAGAGTGGTTTCATTAAAGGACTCTTGTGGGATTAGATTTTTTGTCTCCCATGGCCAATGGTTTCTCATATTTGTTCCTCCATAAACATAACACAAAGTTATATTTAGAGTTTGTGTTATGGACTCAGCTAGTGAGAGGAACAGGTTTTTGGTTGTAACTGAGATGGGAAACTCACTTTGTATCTCCTTGTAAAAGGAGTGAAAGACCTGGCATGAGGAGCTCTCATGAGTAATCATGATGAGTTGAAAATGCAGCAAAGTACCATGGTCTGTTTCCTTTTCATAGATTAAAATGTTAAACTTTTCCCCAAC